GTTTAGGATTTAGGGTGTGTATACAGTATGCACGCGGTGGGTGCGCCTTTTACTTTAGGAATAGGGGCGCAACCACTAATCGCGCGCTTGCGTAAGCATGTAGTCCCGCCCCAACCACTCCAACTATTCTCAATTGGGGTTTAGGGTTCACCCCAAACCGCCCTTCAAGGGGGGCTTTGTTGCTCTCTGCTTCTTCCTTGCGGGACCCGAAAATCTGTATTTGTGAGGTTTGGGCCCTTTTTGAAAGCCTTGGAAAGCTGCTTGGGAGACCCTGTGGGAGGCCTCCAACCCTCGGGCGCCCATTCACATGGTCAGGGGCGCTCTCCGCAGTTTACGGTTCGGGGTTTAGGGTTTCGGGTTTCGGGTCCAGGGTTCAGGGTTTAGGCTTAAACCCTTAACCGCTAAAGGCTTCTACGGTTGGAGTTCGAAAGGTTTGGGGCGTGTTACTACGTCGACCACCCTGACTCTTCACTGCTCTGGGCCCTGCCGGGCGGGTCTAAGGCTCGGGGTCTCGTTGAAATCTCTCGGGCTGCTTCACGTCTTCTTCATTACATGCTGCAGGGTTTCAATTTGGCTACATGGGCCTTTACGGGGTTTATACCTTAAGTCGTAAGATTAAGGCCCTATAGTTTAAGGCATATTCCTTGAATAAAGGAGTACTTTCGACCTGCTTCACTTAAGGGCCTTTATGGGGTTTGGGCCAGGGCTTCCTCTAGGGAGAGAACCCTGAAGCCCTCGAGCGACCAACCCCTCGAACCCCGCACACCCAGAGAACCCAATACCCCTTCAATTAAGGAGTCTACCTTACATTGTAAGTACACAGGCCGTAATATTATGATTACCCCTAAACCCTAAACCCCTAAACCCTGAACCCTAAACCCTCAACCCTAAACCCTAAACCCCTAAGTAAAGTCTATTCCTTGACTAAGGGGTATACCTTAAATTATAGTTATAGAGGCCTTAATATTATGATTTAACGTATATTCCTTAATTAGAGGGTATTGGGTTCTCTGGGCACGCGTGCACAAAAAACTCTTGTCTTTCCCTAAGAAGGTCCAATATTATGATTTGAAGTATATCCCTAAACCCTAAACCCTAAACCCTAAACCCTAAACCCTAAACCCTAAACAGTATTGGGTTCTCTGGGCACTAGCACAAACTGGGAAAGCCGCGCCCTGCCACCACCAGCCGCGGGAAGGTATCCAGGAATCGGAAGATGATGGACTTCCTGCGGTTTTGGGCTTAGGGTTTAGGGTTTAGGGTTTAGGGTTTAGGGTTTAAGCTGCAGAAAGCTACGGCGGTTCGTTTCGTGTGTTAGAATAGAAGCTTGAAGTTTAGGACCTAACGCTTTAATGTAGAGGCCCTAATAATTAGAATAACGTTTTGGGGCCCATTAAGCTATACTGATAATAAGGAATACTATAGGTAATTTTTATGGCCCCGATATTAACGTGTTTCTAACTTTCGGACTTGGAAGTACAGCAAGAGGGCTGCGGGGCTGCGGGTGTTACAGCGGGAGGAGTGGAGGCCGGAGCTTCGGAGCATCACAGACTAAACCCTAAACCCTAAACCCTAAACCCTAAACCCTAAACCCTAAACCCTAAACCCCTAAACCCAAACCCCTAAACCCCTAAACCCTAACCCCTGTTCAGATCCCTGCATCCTGACGATCTCTATCTTCAAGCCCCGTACAAGGTCCAGGGTTCAAGGGTTAAGGGCTTAAGGCTTTGAGGGGTTTAGGGTTCAGGCTGCGGCTCCAACCCGTGAAACACTGAAAGAACCAGGTTTTGATCCCGAAGAATCCTCGAAGGCTCGAGACGATCAAAGCTGATTAGAGTTTAGGAACCCTAAACCCTAAACCCTAAACCCTCAACCCCTAAACCCTGAACCCTAAACCCTAAAACCCTAGGTTCGCTTCTTAGGGCTCAGGGTTTGCAAAGTCAAAGCTGGAACCCGTGAAAAAAGCCTCCAAGCCAACACAGCACCCGTCCCTAGCCAAGCTGCTGCCCAAGCTACAGAAGCGGTCGATCCAGCCCCTTCCTGCATGTCCGAAATATCTGGAGAACCAGTTTGAAGTTAAGTCTTCCGTGTCAACAGGCTCGGGATGCAGGGGATCTTTGGTTTGATAGAGGCTGTAGATTTTTGGGAATTTATGGGCTTCAGAATTTCCTTTCGCTTCAATCCCAACACTGAAGCCTAATCTCCGACCCAAGAATCCAAGATACCTGAGCCTGTATGTGGCTCTGAAAAGCCAGTGACCTTCATATCCCTGCATCCTGGCCTAGGCTCAGAGGAGAAGTACCAGTACTATCCTGAGGGTGCTCCTTATCAGAATTATAGTATGATATCCGTGGGTTTTCGAGCGTTTACCGAAAGACCTCGGTGCTTGAGGTTTGTAGGGCTTCGGATCACAGTTGACAAGTTCAGGGTCAAGGACTCGCCGTAGCTCCACAACCCGAGACCCCGACAGTCTGAGAACCATGTAGCGAGCCTGAAAGGGGGTTTAGGGTTTAGGGCTTATAGAAATTGTATAGGGTTTCCACGAAAGCACCAAACCCCAAAAGCCCCAAACCCGCCACAGCGACAAAACCCAGAAACTCGAAAAAACTGTTTCTGAACATTCCATACTGGGAGGATCTTGGTACTTAGCAAGTAAGGTTAGAACTACCTTCATTGGGCATACAAGCACGTATAATTCATAAGTATCGTTACCTTATGTATAACCTAAGATACTAAATCCCATGATCCTTCGAACCCTAAACCCTACACCCTAAACGGATCCAAAATCCTCACGGCTTAAATGGCAAGCAGCGCACGGGCCCGAAGCTCACTGCCGACAAAAGTGCAGGGCCCGGGGGGACGTTCCATTAGCATACGTAGCGGATCTGCGGTTTAGGGTTTAGGGTTTTGAGTACGTAACATTAGCATAGAGGACATTCTAACGTAATGATGTAGGGATTGTCACAGGATCTTATTCAACTATTCCTGGCTAACCGAACCTTTGTAGTGCATAAGCAGGAGGATCCCCTGTTTGTTTCCGCATGAGGCAAGGCCCTCCCTTTGGGGAGCCATGACATCTTGGTTTAGGGTTTAGGGT